TTGACACGTTCTTATTAACCCGAAGCATTCGAGCACTTGGCTCTCTAGGGTACCCTCAGGTAAGACTTAGACGCTGGCACTTCAATCTTTAGTGGAGATTATTCTGACGGTCGGCTTATTGACATTAGACATTGAAGTTTGTTATAGAATAACTTTTGAAAATAGCCACAATTCATTCCCTAATATATATGCCATTACACGCCTGTAAAATGCGAAGGATTTAATTTGTCATCGTCAGCATTTACGAGGTGTATGGAGTCTATATACCACTGCAATCGATTATAATTTATGCGCAAAACTAAAATTTTAGTAAAAAGAATTACATCGGCTATCAGTGGCAAAATGAACGTGCTGGGCCATGCCCGTAATAGTCAGTTAAGTGTGACAATGTAAACCTCGCTGTAAAGCTCGCTATTAACCAACTGCATGGCCAAATCAAAATATCATAATATCAAAATATTTCGGATTGTTCGTATATGGGTGTTAGATATTAACGGAAATGAAAGTCTCGATCTTACATATACATATATCTGCCTTATGTGTTATACATCGATTTTAATTTCAATATCTGCCTTGTATTAAAGTTATGATTGTGCCTTCAAAACCGTTGAGATATTGAGTCCGAAAATCAAGGAAATAAATTCGCTAGAATAAGACATATACCGCCTTAGTGTACTTGTGCATGATATATTTCAGTCGTGTCATCATTTATACCTTATTACAATAACTTACAAACAGCTTGCGGGCTACAGATGTATTGCATATCATATAACACAATAGTTACACTGAGACAAAGAGCTTTACATTTAGATACTCTGCTAAGTGTAATTTGTATCAGAGAAGCGGAAAATCGAGTAAGAATGTGGAGCCTTTTTACACCATGTACCACTTGTGATACAATGGGATCTTACCTTTATGCGGATGTACACAACACCCAGAAGTGCTTCGGATAGACTCTTTAGACTTTTATTATGCTAATCGTGTCAGAACGATCACTTTCATAATCGATGTAAGATTGTGTATTTGTCTGGCTGTCTGTCTGTCTGATCTATTCTTTTGTGTTCAACGTAAATTAAGTTTGCAGGGATGTATCCAACATCCAGAAAAGCTTGAAGTAAACTCAACTTGTATAATATCAAGCGATTCGGAAACTATTTCTGAATAGAGCTAAGTTTGTCTGTCCGTCTTGTTTATATGTCTTTGACCTACAAGCCGCAATTTTTGAGATAACTTAATGAAATTTTGTATAAAGGCATGTTTTGGCGTAAACACGAACGCTATCGAAAATGGTTCGGATCGGACGACTTTTTTGACCACAACATTCCATACATTGCCTTATTTTGAAAAGTCGTTGTATAACTAACTAACTGTAATTAGGGGAAGTGATGCGGAGTAACTAATGGTGGGACCTGCCCCATCAACCGTTTAAGAATTTATTACTGGCCAATTAAGACGAATTTTGTGGTCAATTTGTAGGAGGCTTTGTCAAATATTTCTTTGCGAATTATTCAAAACAATAGATCTTTCTAGTAGACTAGACTTTTCTTGGTCTCTTAGATCTTTGCTTGCACGCAAATCAAGCCCACATTTTTAGCTTTTACTAGAAATTTGTGCATCTCTCTCAAGTTTCAACTTAATGTCATAAATTTAGCAACACGTAAAAGTTCAAGCAGGCCGATATACCTGCGCCAATTCGGAATCACGTGTTGTTCAAAATAAATAAGAAATCTATTGTAATATATTCCCATCACGACAAGTAACTGATGGGCATAAAAATATTCGATCAGACTCGAATAAAATTTCTTCCTTGTTTTATATATAACAATTGTATATATCTCTTATTATTATTAAAAGTAGTTTGAGAGAAGAAAAAAAGGAAAAAGTCTACCAAAAATGAATCATTCATCATCATCATATAGGTTTGATAAAGATGAACGATTTATTTATTTATTTATTTGTAAGAGAAGAGAAAAATAAAAACACAATCTAAAGTGCAATTTAGATTAATGCGAACGTGACGTTCGTGCATAAAACGCAACAAATAAATCCGGAGAATAATTTCTGATTAATGCTTATTGAAATTCCATCCATTGCATGATTAATGCAATTCAATTTAACTGTTTGAAAGGAGAGCGAGACCAAGAGAGAGAGTGAGAGAGAGAGAGAGAGAGAGACCGAGCGAGCAACTGAGGAAGAGCGTAGCTGCGTGCACAATTACATGAAGAAATATCGAAACAATGCAACGCTTTTTTTATCTGCATATCCATTAACAGCATTAAAAACACTATCAACTGACTATCGAAGATTTCTTAGGAGTTACGTTTAAAAACCCATGTATGTCTGTACGAACGAACTGTATTTAACAATTACTCACGTGAGTTGCATTGTTCATGCTGACCTATTGTATAAAACGGCTTATATTATATTATTATATATAATTATTTAAAGCCTCGTATGCGTCGCGATAACATGGGATTACTAATTACTTCCTACAAGGGTATATTAAATTTGCCATTAAAATATATACAACACCCGCAAATACTTTAAATAAATCAACCCTTCCTTGCACTAAACGATTCGGAATCATTTTTTGTTCTGATCTAAGTTTGTCTATCCGTCTTTCCGTCTGTGCCTTGTTTTCTTGTGTTCAACTTGAAGCTAGCAATTTCTGAGATAATTTTAATGAAATTGGGTAAATCGATATGTTTTAGCCCAAGTACGAAACGTATTAATTTTCCGACCACTTTTCACTTAACAACTTATTTTAAAAATTTAAGAAAAAATTAGAAAAATTTAAAAGAATAATTGTATTAAGCGTAGTGGTGTAGGATATTTAATAATCGACCGTGTACCATGATAGTGCTTTTACTTGTCTTGTAATTGCTTTTCTAACAGACAGAAATATTCGTCAAATCAACAAAAAAAAAAAAAAAAAAAAAAAAAATCGCTTTCACTTTTCCTATAGAATTGGGAATTCATTGTTTTATGAATGTTTTCTTCACCCAATCATAAATTACTTTTCCCAAATATTTGCACTTCTTACAGTCTTTTCGCTAATACGTCAAAAATCATTTCACATTTGTTCTTTTAAAAATGTTACTTAGTGAAATTGTATATCCATCGCCAATTAATATGGACGCACATACAATCCTATATGCAGAAGTAAGATTGCAGAAACTTGAAAAATGTTCCTATACTCTCCCGGTTAAGGTCAAAACATTGCTTTCTAGCAATTTCCGATTTTTACAAGATCTTGAAGAGCTTTCAAGAAAATCTCCCTACTACTGCTGGTGTAATGCGCTTCGTATGATAGAAAATATTCACCGCGGATTGAAGCTGCATTAGTTCTTGGTGGAACTTGGCCATTATTTGTTTTTTGAAAAATTCTATTTCCGCTTTGACGATTGTGTTCGAAAAGTTTTTATCCGATCTGACAGTTATCGCTTTGTCAACCTTAAGGTAATAAGCTAATAAACTTAAGCTAATCGCATTATAAAAAAGTGAAATTTTTAATTCGAATTTCTGCATCCGATGCATATTGGGGTTCATAGGTATATATAGCGGGGAAACTAATGTAGATCTTCGAGATCTAATTTGGCATTTCGAAAAATGTTTACTAGCAATGTTTCCTTCAGCGCCGCGGACCCAGATACTCTTCTTATTACATGGGCCTTCTCGACGTTCATTTTCCATTCCAAATTTCGAATCTAATGAATCTACTTTGATTATTGTCACACATTTTAAACGAGTTCTCGTCCATCCATCATTCATTCTAAAGTTAAAGTTCAGTTAATTGATGATAAAAAATCTGTTTCAAGTAGAGAGTAGTAAAGAAACTTGCCGCCCGCCCACCCACATATTTATCACTTTACACAATCTTTGCTTTTGGGATTTTCGAAACAAAACAATTCCGAATCAATTAATTGAATTTTCAAAAACAGCTTTTAAACTAAAACTCATACTCACTACAATTCAAGGGCACAGAATTCTTTTGTAATAAATTTAATTACATCATTACCATGCCATTCTTAATAGTTTCTATATTAGAAAAATCAGAAAATGAAAAAAAAAATATAAACAAAAACAATGCATGTTTACTTTAAACTTCTGTTTTTTGTACGAATGGCTTGACAAAGTGAACTTGAAACTTTACGTTTAGTCATGCGAAAAACCAGATAAAAGATGAAATTCCAAAATCTGCAATTTATTTTTTTTTTTTTTTTGTTTATTAGTTTTATTTATTTATTTTTTTTACTTCATTGACTTGTAGATATTTTGCCTTTCATTCAGTAAATGAGTTTTTCAATATAATCAATATAAGGCTTTAAGTTCATTTAGCTACAGTTGCTGTTTTTACTTACTATTGTTGTTGGACGTCTTGACTTCGTGAAAGATCAGATATATCTTTTAGATTTTCAACCTCAATGGATTGAAAACGGCGAAAACTAAGAACAAAAAATGCAGTCAGAACAATTCAGTGACAGACTTCGATCCGAAATATAACGTAAAAAGATCCGTTTAATAATAAGATGGCGTCTTTTAAAAAGAGGCAACATTTGAAATCGGGCAGGGGCAACCTCCGGCCCGTTACATAGAAATTTCAAATAATTCAATTGGCTCGCACATAGCAATACTGATGAATGAATTCAATGGTTTCAAAATTGCGGCAAGAATCACCATATTTAATAATTTACACATCATCCTTAGGCATCCAGATGATATATGAAATGTATGAGTTTTTGTAATCAGATATCGATTTGAAAGTATACCGGGGCTATCTTCTACGATTAAAAATGGTAGCGTCTGCTTTATTGACGCCCATTCGAAATACTATTAAATCATTAACTCATTCACTTATTCACTCGTTTATGATTTCCTCTCCTAATTCCTGTTATATATTTACTCATATATATATATATATACGTCTATGGCCTACGTGTTCATGATCTTAACTATATGTATTTGATTTCATTTTTTGTTTTTTTCTTTCTCTATTGCAGGAAGAGCAGCAAAGAAAAAAGCGGGAGGAGGCGTACGAAAAAGAACTACGAAAAGCTGCCACCTTTAAAGCCCGACCAAATCCATTTAAAAAATAAGTTCGCTTTTAGTACTAATTAAGAAAAAAATAAAAATAATTATATAAATAAATAAGAACAAGGGAAGTATTGTATAAGAGATTCTGCCACGTACTCTCAACTCTCATCTAAATCATATTATAATCCGTTTTAGTCTTACTTTCTTCAATTGTCTGTTTTGTTTGCTTCGTTTAATTTGTAATTAATTTTCGTCTTATTTCAATTTCTATGCATCTCGATTAAAAAAGTTATGAAAATAAAAAAAAGTAAAGTGAAGAAATTATTCACAAAACATCACAACATTAAGTACATGAAGTAATGGCTCCTGAAGAAATTCTCTTCTCATCGACAATCGAAACACACTGACATGTCCACAATGACAATGATGACAACATGTTGTCATCTTGCATTTAAATGTTATAATAGAATAACATTTTTATTACATCGGTTTTTATCTATCTAAAACTATATATAGTCTATAATAAATTGTCAAGCAAATCCCTTTGTGTGTGTGCCTCCCCTCCCGGTAGTGATTCGCAGCAAAACAATTGCAACTTATCCCCGATTCTATGCTATTCTATATTATCTTTAACTTTCAGGCAATATTTCGTGTGTAACCTTCACTCGTTCGTTACGCACTTACGATCTATGCTGGTATGCTGCGGGTAAAAGAGAAGATCATTAAGAAAAAAAACAACAAAAAAAAAGACAGAATTTTGATAAAAAAAAAAAAAAAAAGTGAATATAGTTCCTTTTTCTCTCCTGTTCAACCTGAGTTCACGTCTAATCCATGTATTTAGGTAACCTGTAATGTTATATGGAAATCATAAAAGCTGTTGTGCTTGTATTGTATTTGAAATATATTTAATAAATATTTATTGAAAATGTATTTTTTTTTTTTTTTTTTTTTTTTTTTTGCTAAAATATCTCCTCGTCCTCTCTCATTGCCGATTGTGTAGAGACAAATACAGGAAATGTTCTGTCTCTTAATCGCTTTCGCAGAGGTATTACGAAGAGAACAGGGCATGCTTTAATCACATTTTCATCACAAACTTAACGAAAATTGAATTTAATTATTATTATTTCGCTAGAATTATGTTTAATTTTTTTTAATTAAAAATTTCAATTTAATTATCAAATTTCATGTTCCCATATAACTTGAATTCTTGCTTTAAATTTCCCTTGTTATCCCGCCCAAATACGTTTCCGTCCTATACATTTCCTTAGCATATTCGAGAATAGGAAAATGAGTTTAACTCCTTTTAAACCCCTTCTAAACCGTTCCTTTTGCACGTATGTTCCTTCTTTCTAAATTTCGATTACATTCTTCCAGGTCAATAGTGTCTTCTTTGGTTAACCAAAGCACACAGAACATTGCTTATTACATAAGCTATTAACATGCGAGCAACAACAAATGCTAAATTGTTCTTGACTGTACCATCGTCACGATCGCTTACTAAACCCAAAACACTTTGAATTTCAGTTAACTAATTTTTCGAAAAAAAATTCCTTTTGCGTTAGGGCAAATATATAAGAAAGCCTTGGAAGAATGTTGAATAACGTGTCTTTTTCGAGTCGAGCGGACCCATTTCCATACTAAATTTAATAAATATTCATTGTAACTCTTAACGAACGAACGCCGCCTTGCAGGTCTGAGAAAACGTAACACATTAGTGTTAGCATGGAAAGCGATATTAATTATGCATCTTATCTCGCTCTAGTAATAAAGCTCTTGATTTTTTAAAAATCTGTCGATCGATCTACTGGTCATTATGGTAGAAAATGCGCTCGTTCGTCATTCGTTCAACTTCGAATTTACATCTGATGAAGACAGTAGCAAATCATTGTGTCATAAAACGAGAACAAGAAACTTTCAATTCGATCTGTAAAATTATATGAATAATATAGCGAAACGCGAAAATAGAGAAAGAAGCAGAAGTTATTCGACTCAAGTCCGGATTGAGGGATCTACGCTGGGTATTATTATTTAAGAATTTATCCTAGGGGGAATAAAAATGGTTTTTATGCTCTACATCACTACGAAGAGTATATTAAATATTGCGCGAATGTGCCACAAGGCTTCCAGATAGACCGATCCATCTTTTTTTTTTTACCGACCGATTCCAAGTCACTTTCTGAATTTAAGTTCGTCTTTTCGTAAATTTGGTACACCGACATGTTTTGATCCAAAAGCGAAGGCTATTAGAAATAGATTGGATGGGACCACTTAGCATGCAACGCTTTATTTTGAAAAGTCAAAGTACAAATAATTGTAGGATGCTCAGACGTCGCGGCGCCCTATAGACTTTCCATCTGTAATTAATTAACTTATAGTTCGAATCGTGGTTTATTGATTTCTAAAATGTACATCCATCTCATTATTTCAAAATATCGTTTTTTTTTTTTTTCCAATTAATCGTACAACTAAAGAGAGTTTCGTAAATTTATTATTATATTAAATTAATAAATAAATCAATTTTGGACTATATATATGTATATAAAAACATGAACGCATATTTACATACATTCGTAAATCTTTGTCCTTTGTGCTCATAATAAATTTTTTTAAAAATGAACTTAAAAAAAAAATAAAAACTCATTACCAACAAAATCTGTAAGAAAATTAATTTTATTAAATAAACTGAATATAAATATATATGGTTTATATACACATACATAACATTGTATACATATATATATATATAGCACACAATGCTTAACGACACTTGTGCGCATTTTCTCGTCTTGATATTATAATTAATTATTTTATTATGATAAAAGTAAGAACAAAATGAATTGTATACAAAAAAAAAAAATGCCTTAAATTTTTTGTTTTGTGTCTTTTTTTTCTGCTTAACAGAATCACATTTATATACATATGTCCGCACATATATTATAATCTAAAAAGTAAGTCTTTTTGTATAATGGGAGCAATAAATTTGCCTACAGATGTTAACAGAATTTATATATAAATATATATATATATATATATATATATTATTAGTGTAAAAATAATATATCATTAAAGAGAGGAATTTTACCATTTAAAATTCATTGACGCGAAACGAATATATTTTCAATAAATTATTTTTATACATTAATAAAAACTGGTTTTATTTAATAAATATAAAAAAAAAAAAAAAGAAAGAGTTTTATACTTAAGCAAAAGCATATAAAAACACGGCTTGCAATGAATTTTTTCCATTATTTCAAAAAACTTTAAATAAATTATGATAAGACTTTGGCTGGTTTTCGGTCCATTGTGATATCAATTCATTTGTTCGTAGTCACCTTGATCCGAAGCTGTTATATGATCTAACGAATTTCCTGATGTTTATCACATCCGATGCCTATGCATTTTTACCTCAAAGACGAGTTAATTCGAATAGTGGCAGCTCCTGCAAGCTCCTTATCGTATGTTAATTAAATCTTATATGTGATTTAGATTGAAAACGTTTGAATTATTTTTTTTTTTTTTTTCATTTTAATTTGATAAGACTCTACAGATATAGGTGGCTGCAAAGATCAGGCCAAGTTTTTGCTGCGAGGACATCTGGGGTTTTTGTGCGAACTTATGTAACACGCAAAACCGGCAATTTATTCAACAAATCGATTTCGAAAATGCAGTTTATTCATCCGATGGACGTACAGGTATTTTTATACTGAATCTATGCGAGATACCTTGATGCAATTTAATACAGTGAGCCGAAGACGAGCCTATTCAAAATGAAATCGTTCGAACTACGTAGCGATAATTTTCCCGATAACGGTGTTTTTCAAAAGTAAATGTTAGATCCAACAAAAAGTCAGTTACATGCAATCTCCAAGAGAACTTGAGAGGAATCCGCGTTTCATTACACGAATCGATTTAGAATCATTTTGAGCATGTTTAGAATTATTTTAATGAGACTTGATACACTAACATGTTTTGACCGATGAACCAATTTTCCGAACACATACCGCATAATTAATATTCTTTAAAGAAAATCCTGCGATAAGTAGAAAATTTGTTAAATGAATGCCAATAATTTGGATGGAATGCAATCTTTTTTTTTTAATCGCCTGCCTAAGTCTAACTACTAGTATTCTATGGTGAGACAACAGGGCAACCCGAGTGGCGATGATAGGTCCTGAAACTTTCTGCATCGTACCAAGAAGCCGCACCAGCAATGTGCAGGACAACTGCAGGCAAAAAGATCCATAAATTCTTCAGCTAGGGCACATAAACTGCTGGAATTAAGAAACGACCTATTTTTAGTCGCCAACTTTTACGCAGGTCATATTTCCTTTAGGTACCATCTGAAAAACATGGGTATATTCGATTCTGCCAAGAGACGAGGGAAACATCCCATCATATTGTGCTCCGATCCAAAAAAGTGGCCGGTATTTATAAGAATCCTAAAACTGAAAGGTTAGACGCATGGGCGTGTGCAATAGATTGTCTAGGTCGCGGTACATTTGGACCACGTAATTAAGAATAATAATCCCATGGTGAATATAAATCCGCACAACGATTGGTCATTTCATATATAAGTTTATTGGTCCAAACTAGGCGCATATCGCTTTTACTTTCCCGAGTTCAGTTCCTGCAAGAGTGCTCAAGAAATGTAAGCAAGAAAATATTGCACCAGGATCAAATTTTTGGTAGCAGTTGACAGTTTCGAGTTGGTATATATGAGTATTACACGGGAGAACAACGCGTTTTCTTGCTGAACAATATATCAAAAATAGTGAAAGTTTGGCGATCACATCTCGGAAACTACGTACAATATATGGTAGTCTTGATGGCTTTGTTAATCGCGAAAACTTCCGCATTTGAAATTTAAGAGAATCCATATGTGATTGCTGAAAAATAAATGCATTCACAACATGTCACTATTTGGCGAGTATATTGGGTTGGTGGTTCCATGGCAGTTATTCTTGCTCAAATTTGATGATAAAGATGTGACCGACATCCAGTTTCAATCAGACTGTGCCAAGTGCCATACATCGCGTGGCATAATTTAATTACTGCATGAGACATTCCTTGGCTGTGTACTCCTTCGTTGCGATGATCGGAATTTCGATAAAAGAGTCCTTATGTACCAGCAAACCCGTATGTGTTGTTCCACACATAATCCTATCCTATACACATTATAATTCAATAAAAAAATAAAATTAAAAAATAGTAGCTCCGTCTCCTATTTAATTCGAATCTTGTCTAAGCTTTGGGCCCCAATATGGAATCAAGTCGTAAAAGATCTTTTAATTTCCTCCTTTTTATTGTTATTATTACATTTACAAGGTTTAAATGTACACATCATGGATTTCACAAAATATTTTCAATCGGAGTAGAATTCCGGACCGTCGTAACGCTGCTTTGCCCTCTATTCGAACTCTCAAGTTAAAAAAGAAAATTATACGGAACGAATCCGCACCGTTATCCTACAAAAAATACTGAAAAAAGGAAAATATATAAATTTGCATACTCGGTAATATTGGATCGACGAAGACGATTTTCGATATTTTTGTAAAATAATTCGGTGAAAACTTATAACGTGTATCTGTTGTAGTTTATGAGCAACGAGGAAAAGATACGGAAAACAAAGGTTTTCACAGCTTTTCTCGCATAGGCATGGGGGCAGTGTACAAGTGTTTTTCGACCTACTTGAGCCATTGTCCAACTCTTTTAAAAATTTGTAAGAGATATCTTTTTTTTTGCTGGCGAGGGAATATTTACCACAGATGCTATACAGATGGGCATATGCACGAACAGAAATGCTTAGATCCATGCCGAACTTGAAATTAGACAAGGGCTCATACACTTTACGGGGTTTTTGAAACTTGCCTCTGTGCGTTTTAAAGGTATTGAAGAAAAAAAAATTAAATTTTAATACACTACAACATTAAGTAGGCGTGGTGAAGTTTTGTACAATTATTAGAATATACATTCAGATTCTTGCCGATTTATATGCCATGGTGTATAAGTAATGAGCATAAAAATAATTTTTTGAAAAACAGGGATGTTCTGCATTTACGTGGTACTGTAGACGTACCTTTCAAATGATTTGATCTATTTTCAATACCAATCCACGTACAAGAACTTTCAATGTCTTTGTCAAATTTTTGCGGCGGAGAGAATGTTTACAACATATATTACATGGACGGACATGCATAGATTAATTCAGAATTACATGCTGATCAAGAATATATATACTTTTTGTGGCGGCTTTCTGAAGCTTCCTGCTAGTGGACGTCGGAAACGTTTTAATAAATGCCTTCCGTCATCGCTCGATGATGAGTATCTTAGACTTGTCAAGCTAGAGACGTTCATCTTAATGCTTTTTAACTTTTTAGAATTCCCAGGAAAGGCAAATAAATGAATATAAAATAATTATATATTCTCGTGCTGAAGATGAGTTGTTTGTATACTTCCAGGATATCCATTCAATTAGTATTTGAGAGTCTTACTGTACGGCAAAAAATTGTCCGATCATCCTGAAGTGATGTGGACGAAACTTTGAATATTAAAAGCACTAGTTTCACATTGTTACGATTATTCCTACTCTGAGGTTATCGACGGTCCTAATATTCATTTAACGATGACATTGGTTCATATGCTAATCAGTTACAATCCTCAAACAAAATTTTTGGTAGATTTGATATTAGGTTGATTGAATTTGTCAAAATCATTTGAAATCAAAGTATCCTCCTCCTATTTTATTAAAATGTTATGTAGGAGGAATATATAGTCGATATTTAAATATATAGAAATAAAAAATGTAAAATTTTATTTTAATTTGTCCTCAAATTATATTTGGTTTCCTTTTAATCTTATTTTAGAAACTTCCGTCATTGCCCCAAGAAGATTTGACGTTTTCATCATTCCAATCTTCAACGCCGCCGCCGGTCTCAACGGCCACCTCTTCAGCCCAGGTTGTGGGTTCTTCCACTGGATGATCCACGACCTCATCAATCTTCGCTGCCGGCATAAGTTCTTTAGCGGCGGCCTCTTCCTTTTCGGCTTCTTCAGGATCGCGATAGAAGAACAAATCGACTACAACTGGCCATTCTACGGCACGTGATATAGCACCACGTAAACGCAGCACTTCGCGGGCCAATAACCACCACATCAAACCGATAGAATGAGGGGATTTATTATTACAAGGTATGGCTATGTCAATGTAGCGTAAAGCCGAATCCGTGTTACAAAAGGCAATAACCGGTATATTGATGTAAGAGGCTTCCATAATCGGTTGATGGTCAGTCATAGGATCTGTAACCACTAACAAACGTGGTTCCCGGAATGCCGGTTGGATTTGGTTTGTAAAAGCACCTGGTGTAAAACGACCAGCAATTGGAGTTGTATCCGTGTACTTCGCAAACTTCAACACGGCACGTTGACCAATCGGGCGCGAAGAAATGACATATACCTAAATATAAAACCGGGATTAATAATTACTTTTCATAAGAAAATCTATCAAGTATAATATGAATTTCATCAGTAAAAATTTGTCTTCATAAGATTTCCGACCCGAAAGAATATATATTCATCACAAAAGATTGAGCTAAAGGAAAACAATTAAAAATTACTTACATCCGGGGCATGTTCAATGGCAACAATAGCACGGGCGGCCAGCATCAGCTTTTCCCATGTCTTGCCCAAATTGATGATATGTATGCCATCGGGACGCCGTTTATATACATACTGTTCCATTTGAAAATTTACATTTTCTGAACCCAAATGCGTGGTAGCCACAAGCATTTTAGTGATATCATCCTCCTTAAGGGATAGAATGTCTAAACCTCCCGACATTTTAACGTTATAAAAGTTACGGAACCTAAAATAATGGAAACACGCAATCACACATTTAAAATATATACATTTAACCTCAATCTTATGAGCATAATAAAAGTCTCAACTAATAAATAGTAACACGTGCCATTCCACCAAATGCAAGTTCTTCTTTGTTAACCATTTATTAATATTTTTACAGATTAATGCATTTTCATAATAATAATAATAACAACAACTATAGACACATTTGTAACATTTTATTTAGCAAAATGGCATATTTTCTCGATATATTCATCTGGTTAACATAGCTTACGTTGTCGATGCCACTGGGAGCGGTAACAAAATGGACGAGTTCCTGTTAATCAGTTAACGAAGTAAACGCTGCCATATTTGTACAAATGTAAAAGATTATTATGTATGTGGAAAACGCTGCGAAAAATTCGAGATGCCAGAGTACATTTACCAGTTTCGGGGATTAGAGAAACTACATACCCTACTATATTGCCTGTAGATTCTTAAAAATTATAAAAATTTTCCATTTACATCCCTATTTACTTAAAAAAATTATCCAAAAAGCGCTCCTGCGATTATATGCAGGCTAGCAGATTGCTAGCCAGCTAACGGCGACATGAGAATATGTGTAGATTCTCATGCAAAAGCGAGCGTATTCTCTCATATCAGTAAAATTGTATGAAAGCAAAACAGCTTACGTTTGGCATAGATTGTTTTTAGATGGTAATCAGGTAGCTGATAGTTAGCTTTCGCTAGCGTTTCGTTTTTGAATAGAATAGTTAAAACTAAATTTTTCATAAGTGTTTTTTATCCTGATTCAGTATTAGTTGTGTGGAGTCGTATTTATCAGGAACAGCAGCTGTAAACTGGGAGCAAAATAAATGCTAAGCAAAATTAGTTACTTGCAAATAGCTGAATCAAGACAAAGAATGAAAGCAAAATAATTAGCAAAGAAAAACAAAATCTAATGATCAAAAAAGTTTGAGTTAGCCGCGAAAGAAAATTGCACAAAGGGAAAATTTATTTGCTTGAAGATTTTTGCAAAATTTTTCACTAACGAGTACCGACGTACCTTCTACCAGACATATGATTTATTGGAAGTGAAAACGAGATTTTATCCAATATCTTCTTAATCTGTACTGAATCTTTTCTTCCTTCCATTCTTGACTCCTGAATTTTGAAAGTTGTTTGTGTTTAGTTATGCAATTTCTTTATCTGATTTTTTTCCATTATCAAAACGGTTCGTGCTTGATCAAAAGTACACATCTTAAATATTGCCATCTGTAGGTTGAACAGAAGATTATATGGACGAAAGAAACTTAGATTCATTGAGAAAATGATTCAAAATTGATCGGTGTAATAAAAATAATCACTATCTTAAATTTTTTTGGTTATTATATACACCCATACACAAACGGTATGTACCCAGTAAAATAAATGGTGGGTTTTAAAGATGTTTTCTTAAAGTCGCATGAAGTTTTGTTTTCCACTACATATGTACATATATTTTTTACATTTTACATATCCAGTGGTTTTAAATGCTATCTTAATCAAATGCGTGCAGGCGGTTCCATGGTGTAGCGGTTATCACGTCTGCTTTACACGCAGAAGGTCTCCGGTTCGATCCCGGATGGAACCACGGCCTTCGTTTTGTTCTCAAGCACTATTTTTTATTTTTCATTTTAAATGGCTTATAGTAACAAAGCCTTGACATTACCTACTTATCTCAATCGAACGCCTTCTTGGTAATTGCTTTTTGAATTTTTAAAATTAAAAAAAAAACGAAAGTTATATCTTCTTTCGAGTATGAAAAAATGCCGAAAAGCGATACGTGTTATAACAATATATTACGATATGCAGAAATAACTACTCTTTACAATATTGACAAAAAAAAAAGAAGAAAACTGTGTATTTGGGTTTCGAACTCACAACCTTAAAAGTGTTGAAGTCTTGTCTCTCTATACGAGCCTTGTTTTCCAATTGTGTGGCTTGATTATACATTATATTTATAAATATAAAAAGGAATTTGACATAAAAACTTTAGCGAGCTTCTATGTGTCGATGCAATTTTCGGAAATATTTTCTATCCTTTGTCAAAAATTGAAGATGCATTTATTTTATTATATCTGATTATAATTTGTTCAATTCGATGCAGTGGATCGATGATTGGATCGCTGCCAAATTAATATCGTTCTTTCGACATGATACCGTCATGTCAGTTTTTCTCAATAAATGCTTCTTTCAAGTGAAAAAATTCTCAAAATTAATGCAAGCACGTAATAATATTAATAACAATAATAACATATATACATATATAGTAGAAATTAGTAAGAATAATTATGAAAAAAAAATTTTTTTTGCAATACATACATAGATATATAGAACAAGTAAGAAAATTAAAATCGGTTGGGACCAAATCTTTTATCATCATCTTTTTATCATCCCCAAAAAGGACAAAACACGTAAAAGAACAAAATTCTCATGCCCTATATGGATTTGTCTATTTTCAAAAGAAAAGTGATTTTGTCTATTTTCAAAAGAAAAGTTTTTGTCATAGAGGCATGTGGACGTTGTATTCGTATTCTTTGAAAAGTTTAGGTCAATTCCAAATTGTTTTCGCAATTTCTAAGCCATATCTTCATTTTTGCTAATAGGAGAATGTTTATCACAAATGCTACAAAGTTACGCAAACACACAGATGGACAGACGAACATGCTTAAATCGGTTTACTATTTGACGCTGATCAAGAATATATATACTTTGTGGGGCCTCTGATTTTTGCTTCTGGGCGTTGCAAACGTTTTGACGTTTCACCCTTTGGTGATGGGTGTAAAAATGATAGTAATTCTCTAAAAAGAGCGCAAAACTGCTTACAAAAAAAAAAAAAAAAAAAAACTCAAATCAAAATAACAAAAGTAAACGGTCAAACAAAGCAGAACAGAAAACCAAAGTTGAAGATTCTATTGCTTATGCTCACGCATATAATTGCTTAAGCAGAATCACGCAGGTATTTCTGCTATAGCGCGAATACGCTCACGGACAGACCTATTCAAGACATCATATACATAATCGGCTAAGTGCACAGGTTCCGCCACGACAATTCGTCAGTATGCTTGCACTGCGGTGACACGGTAGAGAACTTCGAGCGAGGAATGTTCAATGTGCTGTCGAAGACTTAAGACATTTGGGCGACGTAGATGGGGCCCACCCGAGATATTTAGGACGATTATCGGTCACCTGAAAGCCTGGAGCAAGGTCAAGAGTTTTGCGACAATGGCGCAGCATGTAATACACCGCTTAGTGGAAGCCAATAGGCTCCATTGCAAACATCCACTGCGCAGTAATACCTAGCATTGGTCTCGCGGGAGAGAGTGGTCAAAGAAGTGTCCGTGTGAGATGTAGGTTTAGTACGTACCTGCCATGGATAGCGAATCGTGTATGCTGCTAATATGGGTCAATGGTATCTCCAGCTCGCATAGCAAAAAAAAAAAAAAAAAATGATACGCGTGCATACAGATATTTCTAGTGTACACTTACACGTATACAATGCACAAATTTTAGTCAATGTGGTCCTTTGAATTATTTTACGCTCTCTTACGCGCTCTTTGGATGTTTTTACGTAGGACATGATAGCTCTGTTGTGCAAATGTTGCTTATTCAACTTTCCTGTTACATATGTTATATCGTGTTTTTGCCAAACATGCACACATGAGAGTGAAAAAATATACAATCAAATGGTTGCTAATTAATAGCACTACTGCTGTCACTGATAAGGGCAACAATAAAAGCGCCTGAGATATGTATGATGCAAGTGCTTTTTATTTTGTGAATATATTTTAGCTGCTCTTGTCGTTTAGTTCTCTCTCTTCGATGCTGTTAACATAATGTAGCATTCATTCCCTGTACTTTAAAAGGCACATTACAAGTTCTTCAAGACGCGAACTGACTGCAATTTCTTAAACGGTTAATGTAATTGTGTTCATGTGTGTATGTGTGTGTAAGTAAAACGCAATTTATTACAATTCATTTTAATACATTTATTGTATTTTTTCGATTTTTTGTTTTTTTATCTTCAGTGTCTACCACAACAATTTATTTCTGTTACATGTTCAGTTTATTTATTTAGTTTTTAATTTATTCATTTATTTATTCATTTTTTTTTTTTTTTTTTTTTTTTTTTTGTTTATTCTTTTTCCTTTAGGTTTAATAGATTTTTCTTTAGAATTTCTCCATCAATTTAATTTAATTTCTTTTTTGCTTTTTCTCCTTTGGTTTTAGTAAAAGTGGCCTTTGTTTATGTGAAACAATTATACATTGTTACCTTCGCTTTAAATTTATTTTAAGTAGATTTAAATTTAAGGTTAATTTTAGAGTGATGTTTTTTGTTCTTTAAGATTTTTGTTTATAAGATTTATTTATTGTAATAACTTAAAAAAAAAAAAAAAAAAAAAAATATATATATTATTAGTATTAGCTTTTATTAAATTTGTTGTGGATTTGTTTTGCTTTGTTTTTTTTTTTTTTTTTTTTTTTTGTTTTGTTTTAATGATTAGAAAACATTGTTGGAGGCCCAAGTTTTAATTTGAAAAAATATCTGTGGAATTAATTGTTATTTATAAGTTTTCCTGTTCTTTTTTTTTCGTTTTTCTTCATCTTCTTCTTTTGTATATTGTGAATTCGGTTTAATGTTTGTTACTTTCATCTCTGGCTCTTAACTAAATGTTATGTTGTTTTCATTGTTGACATTTATATTTTAAATATTTTTAGTTTAAATTACTAACTACTTATCTGATGTAATGTTAACTTGTTTTGCTTTTAAATTTGTCCATAATGTCAATTAATACTAAAGTTTTCAATTACCTAAAACATAACAACAACAATGCATTTTAATTATTTAACTTAAAACGAAACCTGATTAAACCTAAATATGAACTGAGCAAAAACTAATGTAAAAATATTTGTAAAAACAAAATAAAAAATAAAAAAACTAATTAAATAATCATAATTGAATTATATATATATTTTTGGTTATTGTTATTATTTTTTTATTTTTTTTATTTTTAATTTGTTTTTTGTAAAAATCTATAATAATTCGTAAATTAGATAATTTTTATATAATTTTACAATATATTTGTTATTTGGTTTAATATGAAAAAAGCATAATTTTAAATATTATTTAACTATAATTGTACATAAATATACGAATTTATGAAAAAAAATTTCATAAATACTTGTTTACAAAAAATTATTAACAAAATTTATTTCACTTTGTGTATGTTTTCCTTCTTTACTTCTTCTTTTTTTTTTTTCTTGTTGCTTGTTTACATATACATATATTGCAAACGTAATGTACACATATTTACATTAATTAACTTAGATAAGTT